CAAAAGAATGCAAATATTAGAGTAATTGAAGTTTCTTGGAAAAAAAATAGCATTTGGAAGGGACAAAAGTCTTAAGAGCAATTGCCATAATCCTTAATTTTGCAAATGACACTAATGGCCATTTAAGGACTATGGGCAAGCGTTTTAATTGCTTAGACCTCGATAAAAAAATTAAAGATTGCCCTTTGAAGAATAAAAAACAAACCACTTTGAAAATTATGTTATGCATCTGTAACTATGATAGATGTTAGGCTCGAGGTGCATAGATCTACCATAGAAGGGGTTTTACATAAAAATAAAGTGCATAGTAGGTATATGGAGAGATGAGGAGAGAGATAGAGAATAGAGGAAGAGATTTGAGTTTTGGTGAACCAAATATCCACTTTCTTCTTATTCATTGGACATCTCCTTCTCTCCAAATCGCTTGAATAACAACATTTTGGTGGGCTTTGTCTAGGAAGGAATGTTTGATTTTGTTTGAGAGGTGGTTTACCTTTACCATTTATAGAGAGGAATGAAGGGAGAGGCTTCTCCCCCATGAAATGTGGGATTAATCCCATGTGGGTTGATTTGCACCACTTGGACCCCATAATGGGTTCCAAATGGGTTTTTGGTTTGGTGAACAAAATAGGGATGGCGGGTTTACAATTATACACTAAGGTTTTATTGCATGTTGTAAAGGGATTTATAGTGTACAGCTTGCTTGGAAAATTCCAAAATTTTTGCCACTATGCAATGTATAATGAACCGCTTCTTAGCATCAAGCTGTAAAGGCTTTAGTGATGATCCGCAAACTTTATCTATTTTTTATTTGGTCAGTTTTTTGCAAACTTAGGCCATTACCAAGTTGATTGGCACTTGATTGAGCTGACTTGGGGTTGATCAGAGTTTGATCAGGCTGACTTGTTGATCCTCTAAGATAAGTGTTCTAGGGTAATGACGCGAGATGCATTTCAAGTCCTCCCTTGTCTGTTGTTCCTCCCACGGTTATTGACATTTACCCTTATTTGATATAGCCAGCCCATGTTAAACCCGACACTGTCCACATTCATGCTTAATTATTTCTTCCAAGTTTGTTTTTCATCAACCTTTTTTGGGAAACTAGAGCGTAAAAGGAGTATGCTGAATTGCTTTATTGTTCTAAATAATAAGATATCATCAATTTTTAACTTACTGATTTAAAATTTTGCTATTTTTGTTACTAAAGTTTATGCTCCTTTGTCATTTGATTAGTTGGGGAACTTCATCTTTATAATATTTTTCCTTAGCTTCATCTCCATCAATGTAAGAACTTGTTTTGTTGGTTCAGCTAAACTGGCCCTAATTAAATAACGAGCGAGTAGATATCGAGTGGGCGAGGAGTAGCGATCGAGTGAGCGGGCCTCAAGTAGGCGCTGGAGCAGCTGGTGGAACTGGAACGTGCGATTGAGCAAGGAAATGCGTTCCGGAGCAAAAAGCTACAACTCCTCGTATGAGATAACTTCAATTCGTCGCTCCTGTGGAATCAAATGAGTGAATGAAAGCAAGCCGTGATTGAGAGGAAGAAGAAGGAACGCCGAAGTCATTTGGTTTTCTGGTCACGACCGACTTCGTCGATTGAAGGCGACAGAAGAATTGAAGAAAATTGAAGGGCTTGTCTCTAAATGAGAGAGAGAGAGAGAGAGAACAAGGGAAACTATTTGGTGAACGACGAGCAGAGTGCATATTTGGTAAACTGGGAGAAGTTACGATTTTATTTTTCTTTTTATTAATATTATTAACAAATTTAATATTTTAAAATAGAATATAATATTAGAGTTGTGATAAAGATAATGATAAGAAAATATTTAAGAAAAGTAATATTAGAAATTAATTAATAATGATATATATAAGATAATATTAGATTTTAAATTAGGTAATGAATAAATTAAATTTATATAAATTTGATTGAGAAGAATAATAAATTAAAATAAATTGTATATGGAATAAGATATTTTATCAAATATAGAAATAATAATAATAAATTTTTTTAATCTAAAAGAGATAGTTTAATTATGATTTTAACCAAATTTAAATAACAAGGATAAATTTTATTGCTAAATTAAAATACAAACACTATTGGATATATTTAATAAATAGTTAATTAAGAGAGTGAGAGCAATTCTAATCAATAATATTTGAGATGTTAATTTGAAATTAAAATTACAATAATTAATTATAAATAACAAGTAAGAGAAATTAAAGATAAAATGATAAATCAACTTTAATAACGTGATCTTTTTATAGGCTTTAAATATACCATCATTGAAATAAGGAGCAAAAGTAAATTATTAAGACATCCATTTCAATGCGAGTATTCTGTTAGGCCGGTCCAACCTTGACCGGCCCAGCCGGTCCGGGTCTTCTCCAGGCGGAAGCGGGACGCACGGGCGGAAGAACAGGGAGGCATGGGGGTGGGGTCCACTAGCAATTCAAACAAAATTGGAGTAATTTTGGAGGGAGAATGAAGGGTAGAGATGTCCCTTTGCTTTTGTTTTGAATTAGATTGTATTAAGAGGGAATTAACCTAGGTTTTAGTTTTCATCTGGATTATTGCTTGTGTGCTTGAGGTTTGCTACGAAGGGAGGTCGTGGGGCTCTAGATTTTCATCTAGAGAGCGTCGGGAGAGTGGATCCTCCTCTCGAATCGAGGATCATTGTATCGTTTGTTTTTCTTGCAATGTACATAAATTTCCCTCAAATTTCTCTCAGCTTTCTTCACGTTTGTTCGCTGTTATTGTGTTTGGTGGCTGTTTTCCCATAGAAAACAGCGGATTACTTGTGATTTGGCTTAGATCCGATAGGAATCACTTGAAATATTCAAGTGGTACCTATCATATTCATGTTTCTATATTATGGTAATTGTATTGCTTCTAATTGCAATTAATTGTTATTGCAAATGATTTATCTTATTGTTTCTTCAAATTACATTGCAAATGATTTATCTCTTGCATATCAAATGATTGGGAATGATTAACATGTTATATTCTATATTACTGCATATTGTTAAAGAATGTAATATGAATGAAATGGCTAGATAGATATGTTTGCATGTGCATGTTGACTGATGGAAGCATACCTCCTTATGATACTGGCTGGGAACACAATGTACATGTGCACATAAATGGAAAAGTTTATGAAAAAGAAAAATGAAATGGAAAAGGAGTATCTTTATTGTTTTTATTTTAGACGGTGGCTCCTATAATGGTTATATTATTTATGAGAAAGGATAAATGTATGGATAAAGATATAATATATGTATAACATTAGAAGTTTTGAAATGAAATGATTAAATATAATTTCATTATGTTTTGAAATGATCATGCATATTGTTCATAATCCCGATTCCTATAGTTGTTGGTTCCGTTTCTTGTGCTGTCCCTTCGGTTCCTCCCTTGGCTGCTTGTCCCGCGGCTGCTCTGCCCCTTCGGTTCCAACAATAAGAGGAATCGGAATAGCAGCTAGGGGACTGGAACATGCAATTAAAGGGGGAGGAATCAGCCACGGGATGGGGGAGCTAGGTGGGGAAACCAAAGGGACAGCAAATGGGGGGAATGAACCTTAATTTATTTCAGGTTTATGAGCTGAAAAGGCTCTCTACTAGACATTAATGAGCTGACTTTTAGTAGAGGAAATTGAAGCTCACAAAGTTACAGCCGAAGATGTTTTGCCCCCCCCCCCCCCCCTGCCTACACCAGTTATTTAGCAATTGAAAATTTAATCAACCGTCCAACTCTCTGTTCCCGTCTGGTTAAGTCGAGTCTCCGGATCGGGTTGTAACATTCAAGGACTTGACTGTTCATTAGCATTGAAATTCGTCCTTCTTACATTGATTGGAGTATTGTCCCATGGCATTGTAACTTTGGCCCTTGTTATGTCTCTTTGTCCTTGTGTTTTCCCACAAATTAATGGCCCGGTAGTTTGTGAGCTTCATCTGGGACATACTTTGTCCCTTTGCATTTTTTATTCTCAGCCATTTTCTATGAATGGAAGTCCTTACTTGTTAAGCTAATTGGGATAACTATGTCCGTGGGCATGCACCTAGCTATATTTCTTAACTCCATGTGCTTTTGCACATTTAAATGTGCCCACTTATGTGTGTGCTAGTTATAAGACTAATTGAAGTTTTTTTTTTTCTTTGTATCCCTGAAAAATAACCTACTTTGTTGATTGAGGTTTCGTTTGGGACCTTTAGACTACTACTTTTCTCTTGCTTTTAAGAGATTTTTGTACTAAAAAAAATAACTTTTTAAAGCAGCAAAAAAGCCACCCCAAACAAAGCCTGAGAGTAACTTGGTAACTCCAGCATCTTATATATATTGAATCAGCCTGAATAAATCCTTCACAACATCTATGAATTGAAATCAAATCTACTGTTATGAGCATAATCTTCACGTATCCTAGGCTTTTTGGATTGTCCTCTCCAATATGACACTCTAATCCTGCATTAAAATAAATCCTTTTAATGCTCATACTATTGATTTTTTACAAATCTTTTCCGTTAAATCTTATTTCTTCAAATATTTCTATTTATTAGGCTCTTTAATCATCAAATAAAAATAGGAATAAGTTTTTATATGTACTCATATAATAAATGATATGTTTGCATTTTCTTTGTTTTCTAATTGTCATAAATTACGATCAGAAGTTATCATATTTTTGTACTTGATTAATGTGTGCGTGCATGTTCTTGTTTGTGGTTGCTCAGGGACTTATATATGCATCTGTTTCTTGGACTTGTTTTTATGACAGTATTTCTATGTTATCTTATTTGAGCAATGTCTCAGTTCTTGTTGGCCATAACATTTAACCACTCTACATTTGATGGCGTAGATCTGGATTTGCAGGATGTTAAGAAAGCATTACTGCTGTTTTCTCACCTTTTTTTTTCAGTTCAAGTTGTTTTAGCAGTTATGCCCCCTATGATTTCTTACATCTTTTTATTTTAATGCCTTATTCTGACTTTAATTTTGTGATCTTCAGGTTGCCATGTGCAACTTTCCAACCATCAAAGAAGCTGCTGATGTAGCTATTGCAACAATGCTGTCAGGAATACAGGTAAATCAATGACATGGAATCTCTTTCTCATCAGACATATTAATGGAGCCTTCTTTATTTCATTTTTCATCTTATTCATTTATTTTTCATTAACAAGAATAAAGTGCCACTAAAAATTACTGAGCAATTACAATTTAATTTCCACATTGAATTTCTGGAAATTCAACAAAATCAAGAGCAATAATCAACCACTATCAAAATTTTCAGATGAACTAAGAATAAGTAATGAAATCACTAAAATGCTATGATGCACGGACACGGACACGGCGACACGGACACGACACGACACGGACACGAGACACGGTTTTTTTTTGAAAATATAGGACACGGGTACGGCGCGGACACGGCAATACATTTTTTATATATTATATATATATTAATGTAATATTATATTAAAAATGACAAACAATAATAAATGAATGACATGATAACTTGTCTAGCTTATAATATAAAATATTTAAGCATCAGAACTTATGTTCCTACTAATTTTGAAAGGATCACAGGACCTTCCTTGCAGTTTCTTGTATCTTATTCGGATGAAGCATTTGGGTTGGTACGAATCATGACAATCTTTTTTATTATATTGTTGACCGCTGCTCTTAATATTTATAATAGAAGAATATTTATTACTTGGCAATTTTTTATAATTTTTGATCTTATTGTTTACACTCTAAATTAGTCTCCCAACTATTCGTATCTGGCTAATTTAGTATCAAAATATCATATTTATCCGATTTAGTTTATTGATCCAAAATTATCGTTCTAGGACTAAATCGGAGTCAATTTTTCATAGTCAAGGAATTTCGTCAAGGAACTAAATCGGGATCATATTTTGGATTAATGTTGATAGACTAAATTAGAGAAATGTGATACTCTGGAACTAAATTAGAAACAAACTAATTTTTGGGGAACTATTTTGGGATTTAATCTAATTACATATATGTTGTGCAAATGATATATAACGTAATCAGAATGTGAATGTTGTGGTAAAGGTATAAGATTTATTGGTTTGTTAGAGTTAGTTTTTTGCCCGATTTTAAATGGTGTCTTGCTGATGGACCGGACTGATTGATTTGATTGGGAGGGTATTAGGAAGTTTCCTAATCAAGAAGTGTTGTTTAGGAAGATTCTTTATTAAGGGGGAATTATTTAAGAAAGTTTTAATTATAATTGGGAGAAAAGTATTTATGACAAGAGATCTAATTTGAATTCAAATATGAGAGAGAATTATTTAGGAAAAAGGGGTTGATTTGTAGGAGATTAATTAAGAAATATTTCCTAATTGAAGAGGGTAGATTTGGGGGCTGATTTGGAGGAGATTAATTAGGAATTATTTCCTAATTGAAGAGGAAAACTTTGGGGGCTGATTTGGAGGGGATTAATTAGAAAATGTCTCCTAATTGAAGAGGGTAGATTTGTGGGTTGATTTAGGAGGGAAATAACTAAGGAAGTATGACATATTTGGGAGGGAATTAGGGGAGGGATGTTTGGGTATTTGTTGTTTATTGTTTGCTTTAAGTATGTGATTTTCCTGGGGTTAAGGGAAGGTGTTGTTTGCTTAATTTAGAATGTTCATAGGGTGTTTGAGCTCTAGCCATCGGCTAGAGATTTGGGAGAGCCGGATCTTCCTCTCTAATTGAAGATCCACTTGTATCTTGTCTTTTCGTTCATAAAACATTCAATAAAAAGTGTTATTGTGTATTCTTTTCCAGGTTTCCTTGTCGCTAGTTTTCTGAAATTGCTGAAATTAGATTTCAGCCAAGCCTTTTCCTAAATTTTTGCATGCACATCCTAACAAATTTGTATCAGAGCATTTTTTTTTTGCGACCTATGGCGGCAAGGAAATTTGATGCCTTGGAAGAGCATCAGGAAATTTGGCCAACTCAAAACGGCTTAAAAAGACTTGGTTAGAAATATTAGAAATGACATTTTTTTATTAGACTTAAATGAGAGTTTGACTCTTAGAGAAAAAGAATTCATATAGCCGTTCCCATGTATTTGGATAAAGGTTTGATGTTGTTGGTGTTGTGTTTGATTTAGAGTAAAATAATTAGAAGATAGTTCTCTAAGGGGTTTTGAACACCTCAAAGAATTCATTTATGATGAATTTTAAATTCACTCAATTTAGTTGAATTCCAAATTCATAGCGCCTTGCACCCTTGCCACACTCATGATCTTGCCTTGTGTCCTCCTTTGCTCGCAAACCTCATGGGATAACTTCTCACGAGCTTGCTACCAAGATCTGAGTTTACATTCATCAAAATATCAAACAAATAAATGATCATATTAAGATCAATTAATTTCAAATTTTCTATTTTATATTGTAAAATTTAATTTATATTATTTCCGAACATGTCTATAATGTGATCGTTCTCATTGAATTGATTACTTAGTTCTAGGTTGGTTTCTATGGTATTGCATGAGTTCTGATTAGTTCGGTTTGTGGTTGATTCCATATTTATGATACGGTTTAGGTCATGTCTATGCTTCTAGTCATTGTTTTTAGAGTGCTTTGAACTTAATATATGAATTTCCTTTTAAGGCTTTGTTATGGTTCATCTGATCGCTACAAGTTTTGGCTTTATATTGGGTACTTACGATCCTCCTTACTACTGAAATGCTTGTTTGGATATGGTTTCACATGCACGGTCTGAGTTGACTCTGTGGTTTACCAGATTTAATTTTAACGACTTATATTGTCGCTACTTTCAACACTGGATGAGGTACACGGCATTCGCAGTTCATCTTATCACACTTTATAGGCGTTGAGGACATCTATTGTGCTATTTGAAATTCACATGGCTTCATGTTGGGTTTCGCATCTATGTAACATTTACGGTGATTTCTAGCTCGTTTCACATGAGCAATATTAAATTTGAGATGGAATTGATGATGAGTTCTATTAGTAGCTTGAAACTGAGACATGAATTTAGGGATTAATGGAATTTAATTGAGCTGATTTCGTGTCAATATCCATTGATATAGGGTTGAGAAAATCTATAAATAGAAGAATTGAGGTATATAAATGATTGATTTCAAGTTTTTATTATCATTCTTGTGTTTTTTTAGTTGCTGTCCCTATTGGGTACGAGATTGCATCAGTTGCAATACAAGTGTAATAACTTACGGGGCAAAAGAACTCTTGTTACCGGTGTATGGACTTGGATTATTTTCACTTGGTGATTTCTTACCATAATCTTTTTTCTTCCTAAATATTTTGTTATTGTGTTTCAAGAGTCCTTATTCGGTCAAATTTGCTTTAAATTAGATTTCAATTGGTACAAAAGAAATCCAATTGCTACATTGTGAATCAAATTTCGTGTTAATTTCTTTGAATTAATTGATCATTGCATTATTGCTTATTTTTTCAAGTATTTTTGAGTCTACACCTACAAACGAGTTTTTATATAAATAGTGGAATTTAATCCATTAATCCTTTTGTTTCTTTTGCATGTTCTACATTTAATAAATTATTTTAGTTGCATTATAAATCCTAGGCTCTTGTGTGTTGCATATCACAAATTATTCTCCAATGGCTAAGCACTTGAGCTCATTGTTTCGCTGGAGCATTTGATTAATCACAATGCTCTATGTTGCTATGAGTCAGCCTAAAAGTAAGCCCTTGACAAGCTTCCAATGTGGGGTTATATGATCTCGTCGGACAAAATAACCTTTGGCTCCCAACAAGGATCTTCCAAATTGGGTCTATTACCTCCGATTACTAAATAGAATAATTTTTTTAATGCAGAATATTTTAATTAGATAATGAAATGAGTACAATTGGGGCAATTACAAATAATTGCCAAAGAAAAAGAAAAATTGGAATATCATAGAAAAAGATAAAAAATATTCATTTGGATCATCTGTCTTGAAGCATAGTGATAAAAGTGCGGGCCAATAAATTTTCTTGTTATTCCTACTACACCTTATGATTTTTTTTTCCATTGTTTAGAAATTCAACTGCATAGTTCTTTTTGTAATCCTTAATATTCTTGTTTTAATAGAAAGTAAAATTCTCGTTTCATTTTGATTTTTACCATTTTCAGTGAAAATAGCAAGTAATTGTTTCAAGATGAATACCTACTTTCCCGTAGAAGTTGCATGTTTGTTGCATCTGTTAATTGCATCTGAATTTACATAATATGTTTATTGTGTACCCTAGATCCTAGAATGTCCTACCTCAAGTGCTTAACGAGTTTTTGCAAAATTTAAGACCTTTAACCCAAAAAATGAGCAACTATAAAGATAAATGATGTACGCCAAAATTGTTTCTCTAAAACATGTCTATTTATTAACCGTGAAACCATTATATGGATGCCTTAAGTTGAGGTTTTTTCAGGGTTCTTACATCTATTTGAAATTTGTAGTAACTGTTGCAGTATATGTGCTGATTTTTCTTCTGGTCGTATAGGTCTCAAGAGTAGAACTCTTGGATGAAGTTATGATGCAAGCTATCAATATTGCAAATGGAAAAAAATTGCCTGAAGTTCCAACCTTGATGTTCGAATTTATTGGCACAGGTAATCATTTTTTACTTCAAGCTTCAACATGAACTATGCTTCTCCTCACAATAAAAGGTATTTTCTTGTCAGATAATGAGCAATTATGATATGCAATGATAGCTCTCTGTTCCACAATAACTCTAGGAGTGACATATAGCGTTATGGCACTAGGCACTGAAAAGTATTTTTATTATATAAATTTCCACTTTATCACCACCAGCATTCTCTCCCCCTCCATTTTCTCTTGGCTTGTTGGGTAAGGAAAGGAGGGGAAGAAAAGAGAGGGAGAGGAGAGAGAGAAAGTGATTGGGGTCATTTTTTTCCATCAATTCTATTAAGAGATTTCTTATGATTATAGTCGGGTTATCCTACATTTGTTTTCAATGATTTTTGAGTTCTACCATTTTAATTTTCTCAAAATTGATAAAAATATAATATCTCCCGGTTTATTGAACTTTCACCTTACAACTTTTTGTATATGATAGATATGATTTTTGTGAGCATTTTGACTGTAATATTATCGAGTTTCACCAGATGAATTGCAAATATTGAATCCCTTTTATGGGTTGAGCCCTCAAACCTATGGGCGAGGGCCAAACCACTTCCATTGTGACCAACAATTTTATCATGATGGTCAACTGCAACTACATTTGCATAGTAATTGTCTTTCTTAGTATAAAAATTAGATTACACAATTTAAAATTTTACTCTTATGACCCTAGATGGCCGCCGTCATGCTTCACCAATAAATAAATCATTAAAGCATAGACTACCATGTGTAGTCCTAGGAAAGAATAATGTATATATGCACTTATATGTATGAATTTACAAATTTTTTGTGCATGTATATATGTTTGCTGATAGTTTATCGGGAGAGAATGAAAATTTATCAGCATTGGATTGAATTGATTTTTAGCTCGGATAGGTCTGGGGTTGAAGTTTGCTATCTACGCATGGATTGAATCTAACCAACTGCCCTTGGCGAAAAAAAAAAAATAAATCTAACCAACTGCACTCAAACTTACTCTGCTTGAGATCATAGCGAATAGTTTTGAGCCGAACTTGAGTAAAGATTTGATTTTCTTAAGATATTTTAATAATAGAAACCTAGCATAGATATTTTATTTGTGATATGGGGGAAACAAAATTAATTATAAACATATTTTTGGCACAAAGGAAGTTACAGATTTAAACTCATGTGATGAAAAAGAGGAATGTTATCAATTCTAGCGGCTAGTTCTCAAAACCGAAACCTATGCTCTTATGCCTTATAAGCCCTAGAGTGTATTGCTTGAGTCAAAACCTTTTAATTGGAGATTGAATTGTTAACAACCCTCATATGATGCCCAAATGACTATTGTGCTTATAAATTTTCGTTTGAAGATGAGAATACCTTGTTATTTGCAATAGAGAAGTCCTTTGAAAAATGTAACTTTTTTGCCTGAGGGAATAAACATAAGGGTGAAAAAAAGGTACGGCTAGTTAATAAATTCCATTTAGAATGTTTTAATGCAATTTTGAAGTTAAATTTCTTTCAGGATTTGTGAAGTTACGCAAAGAAGTTAAAATAGCTATTATGATGTGAAACTTACATGGGATAACATGAATTGCACGTTAGAGATTAATGAGAGTTTAACTTTGCAATGTTAACGATAAAATCTAGCTTACTCAAGTTGGATTCAAGAAAAATTCGTGATAGATTAAGTTAACGGCATTGATTACATTTGAGCATTACAAGAGTCTTGCAAAAGATAACCAAAAGAAAATTGATAATGCAAATAGCTACTACTAAAGCCACACGTTTAAAATTTAGACCATTCACCTAGATGTCCGGCAATCTCTCTTTGAAGTGGAGGCTAGCGGAAGAGAATAGCGAGCAAACTTAGCGATACCACCAAGACACATGTGACACCGAGAGGACTTGTCGCCTGGGAGGAAGCAGGAGTTGGAGAAGCGGGCGAATGACCTTGGATGATCCACTCGTAATCTGAAAACTGTTCGTCAATGGCGTCCACAAGGGTGGGGAGGATCCGATTCAAATAGTCTTCCACGTTGTCGTCGAACCCAAATCCCACGTCGAAGAACGGCGATCTAAGAACGTGAATGTGGCCGTAGATGTCGAGTTTGATTCCGTGATCAATGGCGGGATCCGCCATACACCATGTATGAGGAGGCCAACAATCCTTCAAGAAACCAAGAGGGGAGAGGGGGGTTGGTTTGGAGAGGAAGAGGAGAGGCCGGCGGTAGAGCTAGGGTGAGGGGAGGAGGGCTTTGTTTGAAAACTGAAATTGATTTCAGTTTAGGGAAAAGAGGAGGGAAACTATTTGGGATCTAAATTTGAAATCCCCAAATTAAAGGAGAATTAATGCCCACTTAATGGGAGAACCAATAAGAGGCCGGCGGTGGAGAGAGGGAAATAAAACTGAAATTCAATTTCAGTTTTAGTGTAATGGGGAAGAATTTTTTTGAAATCAAATTAGGATTTCAAATTAGGGAGGAGGAGTTAATTGCCTCCTTAATGGGAGCAAAAAAAAAGGGGGGCCGGCGGGATGGCTAGGGAGAGAGAGAGAGATTTGGGGAGAGAGGAAAAGGGTTTCCAACTTGGTTTGATGACGTGGAAAGGGAATTAAAAACTCCAAATTAGATTAATTTGAAATTGATTTAATCATGAAAACTTTCCTAATTTGGATTTCCAAATTATGAAATAATTCAAAATTTGAATTTCAAATTTGAACTTGGTGGAGAGAGGGATTGGTCGGGTGGGAAGGGTCGTCGGCAAGGTGGGCGGCCGGTGGTTGCGAGCTTTGCCGGTGGCGGGAATCCCTAGGGAGGCCGGCGGCAAGGGCTATGCAAAATTTTATGTAAAACTCTCTTGTGGGTGGGAGAGAGGTAAAGGGAAGAAAAGGAATGCTAGGGTTAGCAATTGCTTAGAGAACTCACTAAGAGATCTCAAAGGGAAGAACTCACCAAGAGATCTTCATGCACTCACATAGAGAACATAAAATAAATTTCATTCATCAAATAATCATCAATACAATACATGAGGTCTCATATAAATAGGCCGAAATGAGAAAAAGAAAAAAAGACACAAATGCCCTTCCAGGCTACATGAGCGACTCAATGCCCACAGGGGCGAACTAGTAAAACAGAAAATACAATCATAAAAATAAAATGCACATAAATCAGAAGTAGTGGCTCTGAATCGTCGCCGTCGATCTGCGTCTCCGGCGATGGTACACGTGTCGAAATCTGATGTCCCCACTCCCCATCATATTAATAGATTTTAGGGGATAGAAAAAGAAAGCTTGTGGTGGCTCCAAATCCAGTTTTCAATTGGAATAAGCATTTGGTAAGGCACACATCTTGGCCTCTAGTCTGAATTTCTTCTTGAATGATTTTAGTGGCACTTTCTTCTGCTATAGACTTATTTTTGAAACATGATTCAATTCATACTCATCATGTGCTGTTTATCATATCTTACTCAAATTTCTTGATCTATTTTGTTAATTTTTCAGAAGCATATGCACGAGAGCAGACTCTTATTGTCCAGAAGATTGTTTCTGAACATAATGGCTCTGATTTTGTTTTCGTTGAAGATCCGGATGCTAAAACAGAGTTGTGGAAGGTGATCAGTAAAAATGTCAATATTCTTCTGCTTATTGTATCTTAAAAAAAAAATAGAAAAAAATAAAATAAAAATAAAACAAAATAAAACTGTTTTATGCTACACCTTCTATAAAGAAATGCGAAGAAGAAAAAAAGTATAAAGGGATGCTATTTGATCAAGGCGACTACTAGCTTTTAAGATGGCATAGCAATGTAGCCTTCATATTATCTAATATTTAGGTTATTTACTCTGCATTTCCCTCGGAATATTTCGACCAATGAAGTCTGATGAGAAGCATTTGGCTTTTTTTCTTTGACCTGCCTTTAACTTTCCGCTTGCTTCTGCCCACAGATAAGGAAGGAGGCTCTTTGGGCTTGTTTTGCTATGGCACCAAATTTTGAAGCAATGATTACGGTTCGTTTGTTCTTTCGCTTCATAATATGCTTTTGTATTGAGTTTTATTTTGTTCATTTTCATAATAATAAGGTGGTGCAGTTGATAGTGAATTTGTGAACTGTTTCTGATTTTCTTAGTAATTTTCTTTACAAGAAAAAATAATTCATTATGTAACTTAGTTGCTATACTGTGAGTTTTCTATTGATTTACTCTTGCAATTATTCTCTTAAGAAAATGGAAACAAATATTTTTTTTTTGGGATTTACATACATACCACTGAATAATATATTATGTATTTACATATTTACATATAATTTTTTATATTTACTTATGTAATATCTTAATTTTTAAAATGACATTAAAAATATCACTATACTAGCTTATCTATAAAATACAGTTTTTTATGCTTGTGTTTTGTGTTAGACTGGTCCTTATTGGACTAGTACAGCAAGCCCCTTGCCAAGGGCCGACTCACGTGTATAGGAGGCAGGCGGCAAGAGAGAGGGGGAGAGAGATGGGGCTCACTAATTCTAATTCAATTATTTTGGAGCCAAAGGAGGGGTCGGCAAGGGCATATTTGTCCTTTGTAGCTTAATTGATTAATTGCATGCTTTAAGTAGGAAGGGAGGATTAGGGTTAGGGTATGCTTTGTTTTGGTGGCTGATTCTGGAGTTCTTGTCTTGGTGTCTTGGGCCCTAGATTCGTCTAGGGATTGGAAGAGAACGATCCTCCTCTCGAATTGAGGATCAATTGTATCTTGCTTTACTGCTTCCGTTGTTTGATTTCCACCATAAAAACTACTGTTTTGCTATTTTTCCATTAGATTCGTGAAGTTTTATCGTTGTTTTAATCAATCTTGTAAGGGTTTACTTGAAATATTCAAGTATGTCCTATCATTTTGATGTCATTTAGATATTATAATGCTATTATAAGTAAATATAAAAATTTAGGTTTTGTAAATATTAATGTATAAAAATTCAGTGGTGTGCATGGAAATCACCCTGTATTATTACTGACTGATATGCTCTATTTGTCTAAGCACATCACAAACGATCACCTTGAACAACTATTAGAAGGTATGCCTAGATAGTCTTTTGTTCATGTAATATATGATTTTTTCCCACTCATTTTAGCTGGAGCATATATCTGAGAACATCTTTGTTTGAGAAGCTTTGAAAACTGAGCGTAGAATAACTTGATTTGAGTTGTGATGGATCCTCAGAACCACTTGTATGAAGAGGCCTAGAAAATGAAGCAGTTTTTAATCAATTTGGCTATTTTGGCGTTGGAGCCATTGTGTTATGAAAACTAAATTAAAATTGCATCTAGTTTAGCGTCCACATATGAACACTGCTGTTCTAATGAACGATTTATCCTGCTGCAAGTATTGACAAGCACAAAACTAAGAAATGCGTCAAAAGATGCATTCTTGCTTGTTGGTTTTATACTTGAAGCTGAAATTTATGCACCATTTCGAAGATTTGTTGTTTATTTGACAGGAAATTTAAGCATCAAATCCAATCTCTTATGCCACGAATCTCAACATGGATGGCATATTGTCTACCGATGATTCTAGCAAATCTTATCAAAACTTTTACCATGTTCAAGCTTGATTTATCTAGTTATGATATTAAATTACGATATAGTCTCATTTTTCAGAATTTTATTAAATTATTGGTGATACAACATCACTGCACAAGCTAAAAGAATTTTTGAAAAGAAAAACATGTTTCTTGGGGAAAAATTTTCCCCGTTGCATACCCTGCATTTTATCTAGCACCATAAAATATTTTTATTGTAAAGCTCATCTATTTTTTCGCATAGTATTCATAATTCTTAATGATATTTTGTAAACATCCCTTCCATACAGCATCCTTCTTATCCATTCTCTTCTTGCAGGATGTTTGTGTTCCTTTATCAAAGCTTGCGGATTGCATATCAAAATCTAAACTGATTCTTGATGAATCACCATTGTTGTGGTATGCTGTTTATTAAGAGAAAAAGTGATAATTAAAATTTGTTTTGATCCATTAGTTGTATTTTTTCTTTATAGCAAGCCTGAAAGATACTTCTGCTTGGTGCACTGAACTATGCTGTGCTTTTTTACTATTGAAATAATTTATTAATTATTTCTTTAAGAGTTTTATATTAATATTTTTTATTTATTTACTATTAAATAATTTATTTAGAGCTCACATGGTATTATGGCATCATGTGAGCAAGATTATTTATATTTAATTTAATATATAATATAATTTAATTTTCACCCTCAAAGATTTATGACATCATGTGAGTAAGTTTATTTATATTTAATATATAATAAAATAAAATTTCGAAAAAATAATATATACCATTCACGGAAGTTATGATCGGATCCTTAATTGGAAATCCTAAAAAAATAATTAAAAAAAAACTATGCTGTGCTTTTTTACTATTGAAACCAAAAGTATGTTTTATGCAGCACAGTAATTGCTCATGCTGGTGATGGAAATTTCCATACTCTTGTGTTATTTGACCCAGAGCAAGAGGAACAGAAACGAGAAGCAGAGAGGCTAAACCACTTCATGGTTCATACGGCATTGTCAATGGAAGGTACACGCTACATGTTTAGAGATATAAGCAATATCAGCCCCATGCATAACCATAAATACATTCACAATAAAGCTAATAATACGATGGATATTCTCTTTTTTATTAGCTTAACTAGAGAAACCTAGGAAGTGAGAAGACCTCAGAATATTGATACATCTTATAAATTTTGAACAGGAACATGCACAGGAGAGCATGGTGTTGGCACCGGCAAAATGAAAGTGAGATTTCTTAAGCTATCAGTCTTTTTTTGGTTAAATCAACCGCCCTATTTTTGGAGAGATTATTTTGTGCGGATATCGGACCGTCTGGAGGCGAATCAGAGCGCACCACATCACCTGATACACAGTGATACATAGCCGCAGTACACAGCAAAAGGGTGATGTGGCGTGCTCCGATTCGACTCCAGACGGCGTCCACTGTCCGCACAGAATAATTTTTTTTTATTTTTGAGAGGACTGGGTCTTCTGCCAAAACCTGTATTTATATATTTATTCTATGATCTGAAATATTGCACTTTAAGTTGGATTAATTCATGGATTCAAAATTCAATTTTGGGTGAATTACATCTAGGTTGCTGATGAACATCGCAATTTCATATTGTCCTACATTTTAAAACTTATTCATTTTAGAGTTCCCCCATGTTACAATTGCCTTAACATGTCTACTACCATCAACCACTTTGTTAAAGAAATATTGTCTCCTCTCTCTCTTTTTCTTTCACTCATGCACACTGATGCCCCCGGCAAACCCACAAATGTGTTTGGTCGGGTTATAGGTGGCAAGCACCCCACCATCTCAAAGTATCTACCTGCACTTAGGAAGATAGAGAAACATTATGCGGATGAGCATAACCAATCCTAACTCTCTTAAGCAATATGGTAGGTGGTTTTATCCACTCCTGCCACTTCTCTAATGGATCATGGTGGGGCAGGGTTCAATCCACGATCACTTATCCTCCCTTTAGCCGCGCTGTCTCTATCTAACAATGCTATTTTCTCTCTGTGTGTTTTCCTTTTCCTTGTGAGCATTTTAGTTAGTAGAAAAGCTCTTTTCTTGCTATGTTATTGGAAGCCATTGAAAGCCATTTTTAATCACGCTAATTGTCATGGTCCTCAACAACATGTGTGGAAATATTGTATACGGGTGAAATGGACTTCAATGAATTTTCAAAATGGTGCTAGGGAAGATAATCTTCAGCATGATTGGCTTTTTGGAGCATTTAAGTCAATTAAGATAAACTTACACACGTATCACATACGTAAAATTTGAACCTAAAGTCTCTTGATTAGTAACCAAAGCTTCCAACTAACAGACTAAATTGATTTGCATCTTCATCATAAATATAAACATGCATGGAACTTCCCTATCAACATGTTCTTATCGCATTAATTGATTTGTAAATCTCCATTATTTCTTTTCTTTTGCATCACTTCATACATCGTGTCAGGTTTTGTTTGGGACTGACATTCTTATTACTTCTTAAAACAACTTTTTAGTTCAAAATTTTTTATTTTTGTACTTAAAAACTGTAAGAAAATCATCTCAAACGAAGCCTTAGTTTTAATTGCCTATTTGTGTATATTTTTTCAACCACAAGTGAAGGGAATATGCCGTTCGTTTCACGAATGCAGCATCTCTCTCCATTCTTCACTCTTTTGAACTACAAATTGTTATTTTTGGCTTACATTTTCTTTATATTTCAGTACCTTGAGGAAGAGCTTGGCATGGGGGCCTTGATGACCATGAAAAGAATAAAGACTGTTTTAGATCCAAACAGCATCATGAATCCTGGGAAGATCATTCCTCCTCATGTATGCATATAATGTGAGAATTCAAATCATGAATACTTTTTATTAAATGCAATTCTGTACAAAAAATTAAATTACTAACTTTATGATGTTTATGCAACTTATTCCATGTAATTTGAATCAACTTTTTTGGTCAATTTTTTTTAATTTTAATCTATTATTGGGAGTACTTGAATCTTATTTCTCTATTTTGTCTTATTAAGTGTCAAATTTTGATTTAAATCTAATAAAAAATATTTTTAATTCTTTCTAATAAAATCTTTTTTAGGTTTATCTCTACTTTTATTAACATGGATTAGATCTAATACATTTACTCACGTAATTGGGTCATTAGAAGTTCGACATATGATGTGATCAAATCATTTAAGATGACCCTAAAGTTATTTGTCATTGGAGCTAACAACCTTTTTCTATATTCTTACATCGAAATAATTTTCTGACAATGGCTTCATTTGGGACAATTTTCTTATTGCTTTTTTTAAAATAGATTTCTTGTATAAAATTTTTTTGAATTAGAAATTTTTGTGCTAAAAAAATGTTTTGAGAAACAGTAAGAAAGTCATCTCAAACGAAGCCTAAATTTAAGACTTTTTGAGTGTCTTTAAAAATCTCTCTCATATGATAGATCTTTATATTAATCATTACAAAAGTATTATAATATTGTAAAATATCTTGTACTAATAAGTCATGCAGTTATATGAATTCATCATATAAGTTAGATGCATTTGAACTTTGCTCAATTATGGCTAATGTTATTAAGAAAAATAACAGCATATAAAATGATTTGCATGACTAATAATAATATTATTATTTATCTAATATTGCAGAATAGATCACCATTTTTATATTTTTAAACTGTTTATTATTAAGAAATTTGCAATTGGATAAAAGGCTATTGTAATTATGTCTATAAAAATAAATATTTATTTTATGAAATTCTTTGAAGTTTCCTTTTTTTTTTTAATGGTCAAAAGCTCTATTGGTATCTTGCTGTATAACAAAATTTCTAAATTCTAATGGTTTATAGAGTTTCCCTGTTTTGACCAAATTCAAAATTCAAAATTCTTGCAAGAAGAAAACAGGAAAACAGGACTTTGTCAACCCAATCAAAGTCCTCAGTTTGAAGTATAAAAATAAATGTGTTAGATATATTCTAATATAATGAAAATAAGCTTGTTGTGTCCTACCAGGCATTTAAATGTCTTTATGATATCTAAATTTGATGATCTTAGACTCGTTGGATTCGTCTCGTCGAGCCGCTCGATTGGATTATAAGTATGTCATGTTTGAAAATTGTTTGGTCATCCAAATTATGAATTGAACCTTCCAAATGTGCTTTAAGGTTTTTTATTTGGACTACGTTGGGCTCAGATTGAGTAGAAATTGGTGTCGTTGAGTTTGTATTTTTGAGGTGTTCAGTTCGACTATAATTTTGCTAAAATTGGAGTCCAGATGATATCCGATTTAATTTTTTATGTTTCCAACTTGTTTTTGCCTCGAGATTTGTGCCCGATCAAGATAACTTTTTGATGGTATATCATAGCTTAAGAATTATTTGATATATTTTAAAATTGATATAATATATATTTTACATATCCAGCACTAATTTTAAAATAATTTTATTTATTATAATAAAAATTATATCAGAATATGATATATTTTTTTTTCTTAAGCAAAAAATAAAAATAAAAATAAAATCCATAAAGTTCTCAATAATTTGTGAAGCTTTGAGGGCAGCATCAAACATCAGCATCAAATAGTGCTGTCCACTACCTTTCTTTCCAGATTAATTAAGCTTAAGATGCTAATTGTCATCATAAGTAGAGATAATTAAATGAATAGAAGGGATTGGATAATTTCCTATTAAAGCTTTCATCATCACTGATTTTCTTTTTTAAACTTTATTAATTCATGATTCTAATAAAGATCACAAGTGATTGTTCCTTATATCTTCCTACCTAATCTGATGGTTAAGGTTTGCCTCTCAGCATAATTAATTGATTGTTAATAATGATTTGTGATTTTAATGATAGTGAAAATTTTAAATCTTTGTTACTAAGCAAAAGATAAGATTGTGTGTTGATTTAGGTCAGATATCAGATTCAAATCGGAATCAACTTAACTTTTGATAAATAAGACAAGTTTCAAATTGGGTTAAGATTTTATTTGGGACATTTTTCTTGTTGCTATTTAAAACAGCTTTTTAATATTATTATTTTTTTCAAAATGTTTTCGCACTAAAAAGTTGTTTTTATAAAACAATATAAAAATTGTCCCAAAACAAGCATAAGTTTATTTTTCAGTGCCTTCAACATTAGAGAGAGAGTGTGTGTGAAAAAATTATTAGGTGCGAAGTGCGCACCGTCCGCACAAGCACTGGGTACCTAGTGGTACCAAGTGAGGGTACCGCCAGGTGCCTAATGCTTGTGAGGACGGTTCTCCCCGTGGGGGGGGGGGGCGGGGGGCGGCGGGGGAATAGGTAAATTTAGGAGAAGGGCTACCAGCCTACCACTCTACAAGCAAGCTCTACTTTGAATGATATATTTTGTTTTCCTTACGAGAAACTTGATCATAACTCAAAAGGTCTATGAAATTTTAAGTGTAAAATGCTAGTTTCTCCAAGGATCCCCTTCATTTTCATATATATACATAGTGCAAGTACACTTTGTTTTCTAGGAAGCTAAACATTTTTTATGGTTTTATGATATACATTTTTTGTTTTTTATTTCCATGGAAATGATGAGCTCCAAAGCATAAATATCAATAAAATTAGTACAAATTAATTTGTTCGAACTCAGATTAGAGGCATCGAGGTACAAACTGTAATTATTCCTCTCTCATGACTCACAACCTGGAGCATGTCTTTTATTTTCCCTTTCGCTTCGCTTCGCTCTCACCATGTTATTTACATTCTTAATTTTGATCTTACAGCTCCTCTTGGCTTCGATAAAGAGACGACAAACATAACTTTTTTAATATATTCTAATATAACTTTTTTGCTCCGCCACTCTAAAACTGGTGATCACTTGATTAACTTGACCAACATAAATATTAGTGCACAACAAACATTAACTGCAAATACATGAAAGAAAATAAAATGCGAAAAAACAAAACAAAACAAAACATAATAAAATAATTTATATAAATCTTTTTTGAGAACTACATAAATACCACATAATTTTAATATCTTTATATGTGTAATACTTAAGATTTATTATTTACTATATAGTATTTAAAATTTTAAACTATAGAAATAAAATTAATAATATTAATTTCTTTAAAAGAAATATCTCTTTTATATATTTTTTTAATATAAGTAAATCATTAAATATTATATAAATTAATATTAAGATTTAGATATATAACAAGGGGTATAAGTGAGTCAAGCTATCTCAGGATGGGCTTGAAAAATAGCTTATCTGTCAAGCTCTATGAACTAAGGAATGAAATTTGAGTTAGCTCAATCTCGACTCGTTAGCTCTCGAGCCTAGTTATTAAAAAAATATTTCATTATAAAATATAATTAAGATATATTAGCATCTAAGAGCTAAAGCTTAAAGTTAATAAAAATATTAAAAATTATCTTACAATTTTTAAAATCAAATAATTTTTTGTTATTTCCAGTATAATTTATTATTATTTTATTAAAATAATTACTTGAATCCTAATCAAATTATCTTTCAAAATAAATAAATCAGCTCATGAGTCAACTAAAACTCGTCGAATTAAGCTCGAATTCGAGCGCGAACTCGATCGGTTAATTAAGCTCAAGCTCAAATTAGATGTACCTCAGAACTTTGGCTCAATTCATTTACACCCTATATATAATTATATTAAAATTGCATTGTATTTTTGTAAATCCCCAATTTTATTTATTTTTTTCAGCAACCATTTTTTGGGTAATTGGGAGGCAGAATAGTAATTAAGGCTCTTTCTAGAATTTTTTTTTTTTTTTTTTTTTGGGGAAAATGTTTCTAGAATTTCTTAACTACCCTGCCCTTTAAGTCCGTGCATTGGTTAGGTGGGGACCCATTGGACGGCTATGATTTGTAAACGTGGCTGGTCCATGTCGGCGACAGAATGGAAGGGACGGCCAAGATTCTCCATCAAGATATTTTTGTGGGCAGATTAAAAAACTGAGGCGGAAAGTCCCAACACAAAAAGACATTAAAATTATTAGTCCCCAATCAACAGAAATTTTCGGGAATGCCATTCATTGCTATTATAAATTATTTGAGGTCATGCATATGCGTGCAGATTGATTATTTCTTCAAATTTATAATTTGAATATCGATATTTTAAAAAATAAAATTAATGTCATGTCAGTATAGATGTTGAATATGATTGATTGGTGTCTAGGTTTGGGGATCCGAGAATTATTATTCAGATAGTCATTGGTCCTAACTATCATTATATATGTCTAAAATATAGTACATAATAATGTTACAAATAAGTATTGTATACTTGTATATGTCTTCACAGGTATTTAATAGGTAGTTCACAGGCCAGGATAGATGAACGTGCCTTTAAGAGGGATCTATGGCTGGAAATCGTAGAAACCCTCACCTGATATGATCGACAGGTGCTACTCACTCGAACTTACTAAGCAGTTAGCCCTTTTCACAGGGTAGATCAGGAATTTCTCATCAAGCTATCAGATCAACACTTTCCACGAATCAGATCCACCTTCGCAATCACTTGCTCTCTCCCAGAGTGATTGCTCCCATGCAAGCCAACCAAGTTCATCAACATAAAGATGCCTAACATAATGGCCTATCAACTCGTCATATCGAGATTGACTATTGAGCTTTTCTTTTTAGTCACTTTAGCTCGCTCACTTTTCTATCCTGAGGGTGAGTAAGGCTCAGCACTGGTCACCCACTATCTCAAATCGATGTCCAATTACCTAGCTCATCCGGCTTGGCATATGCTTGTAGACACTTTTGCTCCAACTCATCACTAAGATTGTTCACCCAACTTGCTAAATAAAACTAGCCCCAAGCATCAAAGCAACTTGCAAGCCGAATATAAAGTTGATGGTGAGTTCATTGGAATTTGACGAAGGAAAGTGAAGTTGACGATAATTTTTAATTGTCCATCACTCAGAAGTCGATCTTTACTTTCAATTTAATATATAGCTATAAACTAGTAAGTACATTCATTTTAAAGCATCTTTTTAG